ATATATATATATATATATATATATATATATATATATACATACATACATACATACACACACACACACACACACACATCTTATGAAGGAATAATTTTTAGTTATGAATTTAAATACCATTTAAAAATCAAAATTTTTAGGGGAATAGATATACTTTGATATTCGATAAATATTCATGAATATTTATCAAATATCAAGCATTCAAGTTCGAATTCGAAAAACTTCATATATGAATATTAGAGTCTGCATTCGAATTCGATAATTTTAAACAAATACAAATACAAACACCTTAGTATTTGATTCGATTCGATCGTTTATCACCCTTAATTGTGATGCAATCTCTCACTATTTTAAATTCCTAAACATGAATATGAATAGATCCTTATCCAGTGCAGTTGAGAATGTCATATTAATACCTACAATATGCAATAAATGATATCATACCTGTGCTGTCTCTACAAGATTGTCTGAGGAAGGAAAGAGCTGAATTGCTTTGTCAAATTGACTTTCTTGGAATAGTAACATATGGGGACCATGAAGCCAGAGAATCAACTAAAGAAGAATTTGAAACATGCCATTTCTGTGGATGGAATCATTCATGACGAAGGTATGCTGGAAGTAGCATCACCAGAGGAAGATACATCTGAAGCTCTAGGAACATCACTTTCTCTAACTACTCTGTGATAAACAACTTTAAACGACTGTGATCCATAAGGCCTATTTAGCAAACTAATAGGCATTCTGAGAGTTTGTTTTCGACGACTTCTTCCCTTTATGTATATGCTAAAACTTCCCTCACCTTCATATTTCTTACTGCTTCTGGTACGTTTTTCAACACCAAAATCTCCTTTATCTGTAAGTACTATTTCTGGTTTTAGTTGAGTTGCATTTGGTACATTGTCAGAAGACACTTCAGATTCTTTCTTTTCGGATGATAAAATTTGAGAAGCTGTGTTCCCACTTTCTACTACTGGCATGCCATCCCCTTCTTCGTTGGTTTCTTCTGTAACAGTGCTCTCCATTGGAGTCGAAGCACAATTGACACTGTCAGATTGCACAATCGATCCTGACATGAATTCAGGCATTGGATTAGCGATAGGTGGCATGGAAGAGAAATGTACAGGGTGACAGTTGGGCCAAATTGTTCCTGGCACAAACTCAGGTGCATTTTGATGTATACTGCACTGCCAAGCATATTGGTTGGGATGAAACATGTTGCTATTCATAGCATATGTGCTGCTTGGCACAGCTTGGGGCTGGGTATACGGTGGATATACAAATGGCAAAGGATGCATTATGCTAGGAGGTCGAGGGGAAGAAGGATATGGATGATGTGGAGATGCACACATAGGAGGTGATGCAGGCATAACACCTGCAGGCCCTGGGTGAAGGGTCAGATTCAAAGGCCAAGGTGCGACCCCAGGAACTGGACAGCTTGGGGGAAGGCTAACATTTACAGCCACTGGGCTAAGCACCGCAGGAGGAGATGGGTTGAAGGGTGTAGCAGATGCAGATAGTTTCTTATTAGAAGTGTCTCTCACATCACCAGTGTTCAATGATAGCTTCTTCTTTAGGTCATCAGTAGCTCTGACTTGGCGGTCAACATTTTGAAAACCTTCTTGATGTGCAATACCAGTAGAAGTACTCTTGGGCTCAGTAACACTGGGTAGCATTTCCTTGAGGCATTCTTTTTCAGGAACATCAGAAATTAAACATTCAATATTCACACAATCAGGTCCAGGGGTAGATTTCTTGTCGTGATCATCACTGAAGTCTTTACTAGGTAGCCCTTCTGGAACATCAGCATTATTAGGTATCACATCCTGAATCTCATCTCTAGAAGCCCTGGTATCTGAATCATTCTTGATAGGCATTCTTTGACAAGACAACACTTCTATATCTGGAGATAGCAATTCAGATCGGCCAACACCTTCATCATGTTTGTCAATATCTTCCTCCCTTTCAGTAACTTCCATATTCTTAGCTGAGGGAATGTCTGCGTCTAGCATGCATTTCTTGCTTTCTTGTTCTATATTATCTTTATGTACTGTCATAACTGAATCCTCTGCATCGTTCACGGACATTACTGAATCTTCTGTTTCCGTTCCACCTTTAGCAGTCAATAAGTCTTTATTCATGGTAATATCTTCCTTGACTTTCTTGACCTGAATTTTGGCTATAGTTCCTGGAGGTGCCAATGCAACATCTTTGTATGATGGAGAACTTCCAAGTTCAACAATCGTACTATTGTAAGACTCAGAAACATCACCTATAACAGGTCTTTGAGTACTCAATCCAGGGTTAACATTAGGTGTAACAGTCTGAGGAATTTGCAGATTTGCTCTTTCAACTATCTCTCTGGAGTTACTCGTCGCCTTGATGTTGCTTGATGAAGGCACTGATTTGACCCTGTATGTCACAGCCTTATATATTTTTCGGCCAAACTTGGTTCCAGGTGACTGAACTTTCACATGTTGATCTGGATAACCTCCAGAAACGACAGTCCTTTTCTTCAATACATAGTAACGGCTGTTTGAATAAGGCAGCCTTGGTTTGGCTTGAACAGTTTCGGACGTGCCATTGCTCTTATGATAATTATAGTCCTTTCCAGAATTTGTGTTTTGCTGCTTAAGCCGCTGTCCTGAGGATCCAGCTGATCTTGGCCTTTGAACAGGCTGCCACCCGTCTTCTGCCTCTTTGTTTACCTTCATTGGCACTTCAGCAACAACACTATTCTGTTTCTCAGGCAATACTTTAGATATCTCCGGAACTGTAATTTTTTCCTCGACCATAGATTCTTCATGTTTAATCTGAACTTCCGGACTAGTGACTAGCTTATCAGCTGGTGTATATATAGCTTCACTGTCTTCTTTTTCTTCATCTGAATTTGTACCAGTGGAGTCCTTGGGTGAGATATCGGAATCAGTTACATTCAAGCCATGAGCAGATCTTCCTTTCACCTGCATCAATATCAATGGTTACTTTATATGTGATAAACGAACAAGGATAAGCATATATAATTTTGCAAAGATCATCTTCAATGTTTAAATATATAATAAATAAGTTTACTGCTAAAGTTTTAGGCAGAATGGAAATTAATTCTCCAGAGAAAATATGTTGAATTAAGTTTCTTGCCAGGAAAATATACATATCAGCGCTACACAGCCAATATGACCTAGTGAATACTGTCTGGGAAAATAAACAGGTAAGGGCTAGTTTTCCAGTAGCTAACCAACAGAAAAATCGACCAAGAGAGTGTACTAACTGGAGATAATAATGGATTACACCTCTGGTGCATAATTTAATATGATTCTGGCATATAAAACTTGTAGAATATTAATATGGGTTAATTGCAAACCGACCCCTCTGTAGTATCACCATATTGCAAAGAGACCCCTTTTAGTTCTATTTGTTGTGAATAGATCCCCTGTAGTTCTACTTGTTGCGAACAGATCTGTGGTAGTATTGGCCCAAGTGCGAATATAACCCCCGTTAGTGAACTTTATCGACTATTTTAAAAGTAATAAAATAAAAGGTGTCTATTCTCACCAATAGAACTATAGGTGGTCTATCCGCCTCCTCAAACATTTTAAACGATTTTAAGAGTAAAAAAAATCATTCACGGGGGGTCTATTCGCAACAAGTGGAAAAACTGGGGGACTGTTTACAACAAATAGAACTGCAGGGGGGATCTTTGCAATTGGGTGATACTGCAGGGGGTCGTTCCCAATTAACCCCATTAATAATATCTTGACTTAGATGTAAACCTTATAGATCTTTGACAAGGAATATTCTGGCAAACAAAACATGTAAAACTTGTTGAATATTCTTATAAAAGTTTGACAAACTTGGACAGAAACATGGGCTTACATGCAGCTAACCTGCTGAGCAACTTTAGAATGATGCTCAGCAGGCTAGCTGCATATAAAGCTTGCAATATTCCATGCATATGTAATATTAAGATGTTGCTTACTGTGACTACCTTTTCAGAAATCCTTTTGTAGAATTTTTTGTACAAAGCTATTTTCTACAAACTATAAATAATACCTTTAAACTCAGGTTTCTCCTCTTTATTGACTCAGAATCACGTCCTCTGGTATCTTGACTTGGATTTATGTAGTCAAGCAGATCAGACACACTGCCATGTCAAATAAACACAATAAAAAGAGTTCATCAGGTGAATTGAACCGTGTGAAATAGATTCAATGTTCAATATAAAAAGGGTTTTTAATTAATACAAGAACAGCACATGATACTATAGGCTAACAAGGTATACGGTTTGATATCAAGTTATATGAATATAGTACAAATATAACCTTAAATGGCCTTTACTAGCAATGGATGCATCAGGTTTCCGAGTGCCATTGCGAGCAGCTTCTTGCTGTTCAAAAGCCTTGGACTCAAAGTATTCAAGCCACGCGGCAGCATCCTGCAATATATGGTGCAATGTAACAGATAAGCATGTCTTCCAGCACAAAATAACAATATCAGGATATAAACCATAACCAAGTCCTGTACCAAATTACAGTTTGATTTTCTGACTTAAGGAATGAACTAAGCAAAAATAAATAATAATAATAAAACAAAGAACAAAAAACAAAGAAACAAACGGTACCTGAGTACGCAAGTCATCTGGACCAAGCTTTGCTCGAAGAATTTGTAAGGTTGTTTGTTCATGCTGAACACTTAGTGGATATGCTTCCATTAGTGAAAGTGCAATGGCTATAGCATGGTAGCTTGCTGCTGTCTGAGGATTAAAGGAAAAGAAGATCGTTTTTAAGGAGCTGAGAGAAAATGGATAAAAAGAAATCAACAACGTCATACTGAATTAAGCCGTGTGCTGTTACAATATCTTAATTATCACCTATTGATCAATTTGGACTTTTGATTGGAAAAAATAAATAAGTTTCACCATGGATTTACTCCAGTTCATAACAGAAACTTATGTTACTATTTAAAAGCTACACAGTCCATGAAGTATAAACTTGGTAATTATCATTGTGCTTGATTTAAGATAAAAAAAAACTAAAGGATTCCAAGCAAAACCATACCTGAATATGGTCTGGACCAAGCAATCTCTGATTGCATTTTAAAGCTTTATGGAGATACCTCAGAGCCACATGCACATTTCCTAGGCCTTCTTCCATCATGGCAACATTGATATATGTGGCAGCTGTGTTGGGATGAGATGGTCCACAAGTAAGATGTAGCAGATACAATGCACGCTTCACATACCTGTATATAACAAAAGAAAATTATGATTCAAAAAGGCAATTTAAATCTTTATGGATCCACTGCAATCATGTAGCTTTTCTACAAAAAGAAGCCATCATATCACGAAGAAAGATGATGTGAATAGTAGTTTGTCCATAGAAAACGATTGAACTATAAACCATTCTGTGGCTGCAATCATCATTTGGCTTACTTAGGTCTTATTACAGACATCCACACTAGACGAGAACTCCGTATGCATGAGAATGATTGAAATTTGAAATAACTTACTTAAGGGCCAGTTCTGTATGTTGAAGCCTATAATAGAAAACAGCAAGGTCACCGTAACTCTTCATTGTATCTGGATGATCAAGTCCTAGTTCCCGTTCATTAATATCCAATGCCTTCTGCTGATATATTGTAGCCTGAAAATTATATGTTAATAAACTAACAAACTGTCAACTAAGAGAGAAAATAAAGGAATATAAGACATCTATGAGATCCATCCCCAAACCAACATAAGTGAACAAGGCAGTCTTCAAGGATTTATGCATTTACATGACATGCATATTCGAAGAAACTGAATTATGGATTCAAACTTCATTACCACTAAAGACATTTGCATGTAAACCACATGTAAATGACAGTGTAAACCCCAAAAATGAGAATTCAAATAAAAAATTTATTATATAAGGGAATCTGAAATTTTATCACATCTACTAAATGACCGTGCACGTTTTATGGGAAGTGTATATCCTTCAAATGATGATCAACTCAATCGTAAAGATTTCAAGACAGAAACTTTTTCAAAGTTACAATACATTCAACAACTTATAATCAATTATGCTCTTATACACTTCAGAAATTTGGAAAGTAAGATGAGATAACAAATACTCTAACACTATTGAAATTACAATTTTTAATCAATACATCGTTATTGTATCAGTATAGATAACGTTTTCACAAGGACTAAATACCTTTTCTACTCAGTCAATGATGTAATATTTTTCCAGGGTAAAACTTCACTAATATATCATAAATATATCACTATTGCAGAACCAATTTTATAATGCAGTGTTTGGTTAGCCAGATTTCCTGGCTTCTTTTCTAGTGAAGACAATAACATGGGTTTATTACGTTGTTAAACAGTCCTCTCATCTAACCCTCCAAGCCTAACAGAAGTCCTAACAATGGTAGTAGCTGAAAAAAATATGTTCCTCTTTAGGTAGTACTTAGAATTTACAATTAACCTGATTGAAGTCTCCAGTATGATAAAGAACAACTGCAAGAAGGCTATAGGCTCCAGCTGTCATCCGATGGTAAGGACCGCACACTGCAATCAGCTTTGCTAGAGCCTAAAGATAGCATACAGCGCATACATACAGAAGTGAGAGAATCATTCTAATAAACCCAAACCACGCAATATTGCTAAATTTCATGATACTGGTCTTTAAAGTAGGAAATACCTTTGTTCCATAGCTGACTGCATCTTCAAGTTTGCCTTTATCAAGTGCAGTTTTTGATGACTCCAGAAGTTGTCGTCCATCTGCAGATGAGCATGCAACTTGCTGCAAAGAGCGAATTGGAAGAAAGAAAAGGTTAAAGATCCAAAAATAACAGTAGCTGCATAAACATACAATTTATTCGCACCTTATGTACAGGTACCAAACTGATAATGTCCAATTTGCTGAAGGGATATGCAGAATCCATATCAAAATCTCTTGGTGACAACTCAATGCCCACCTAAAAGAGAAAAAAACTAACTGCGTAATTTCCAGTTATATGTTCAAAAATGTTTAAGAAGCAAGCATCCATTACCTTATGACAAACCCCCCTTAGGATAGCATATTTCCTAACATCGCGGTAGTTCGTGATAGTAAGTTGCCAGTCATATCTCTTCTTCAAGAAGACCTCCAGCCATCTCCACACAGTAGCATGTACTTTTGGAGCAAGGTTGGAGATTCCAGTACCAGGTACCCCAAGAAGCAAGTTCAATGCAGAAGCTATCAGTGTTGCCAAATCTCTAGTATCAGGAACAGCAGAAATTACAGCTCGAAGGATGTGCTTGAAGGCTCTTACTATCATTTCATGAATACAAAGAGACTGCACATGGGACAGTTTCTCTGACAGCTTAACCTGAATTAGCAAGAATGATGCATGATTTAGAATCAAACAATGCTATAGATCATTTAGTAGGGGAAATAAACAATCAAGTCTAAACAGAAAACTAAATTAAAAATATAGGTTTCTCTGCATTGAACCAGCCAAGGACATCATGGGGCATTCAGGGATTGCAATGGTGTGCCATGTCAACCCTGTTAAGTGAGCAACTCTTTGGGGGCAAGTTGGTAAGATGTTGGACTAGGACAGAGGTGGTGATGGGTAAAATGCTAGACGAGTACCAATAAAGGAAGAAATTCCTCCCTCTAAAACGTGGGAATAATGGGTCACATCTTTGAACCAACAGAGACATCACATCAAGGTGAATTAACGAATCACAATGTTGTGCCATATCAGCCCTGTTAAGTGAGCCATTAGTGAGAGGGGAACTGGTAAGCTGTTGGACTACAACAAGAGTGGTGCCAACACTGAAGAAGTGCCAATAAAGAATTTACTCTACACTAGAAAGGGAGGAACAGTACATTTTCTTCCCTGTGTTGCACTTTGTTCTGCAGTTCGTAACATTAAATTCCTTGCAAACTGTGGATCTCTTGCAATACACATCTTCTCACCACTTCCTTTCATTATATTTATCTTTTGTTTCCTTTTGTAGAGGTATTTCTTTTGAGCAGTGAGACGCTTCCATTTATCTTGAAGTAACTCCAAATCACCGGAGAAAGAATATTCTAGCTTTAATAGCTTTTAAATGATTATTTCCATATATTCTTTGTGCTTTCCATGTCAACAAAAGATCCATGAAAAACCATATCTGGTTTGTTAGTTACATTTTGTGCGATTAAATGAAGAATTATTTTTTTCCCTCTAAAGTTCCAGTGAACTTTATCACATCTTCAACTTGACTTTTTAACTGAAATGCCTACGCATGTGCATCAGAAGTACCAAAAATAACTATTTGTTCATTGACACTAGTGAAAAAGAAAAACGATGTACATAAATGATAAAATAGAAAGCATTAAAATGTACGGCACCAGAATGATTACCATAAATAACTACTAATAAAACAGTCCAAATTATCAACTACAGATATGGCACAATGTTAGGAACTTACAACTCGCCCAAGAGAACGCATTCGTAGGCCTCTGGTGTGCATGAAGTCAGTTAAGGTACGACCATCAACTGGTGAAAGTTCCAATGAACCAAAATCTGCAACCTAAGGCACAAATCATGTGATTTAAATCATAATCATTCTCAAACAGGAGCATGCATATATATCTGTGTCTTACCAACTTTGGAAGAGCAACTTCTTCATAATATTTCAGAGCCATCTCAGTTAGTTCCTGTGGAGACTGTTCAAAAAGATATCAGTACCTTCTCCAGACAGTAAAATGTCACACCATAAAAATTTATGCAGTCTTGATGTAATTTAGGGGCATGTGATATGTCATGTATACTGAATGGCTTGAATAGGGAAAGTCATGTTAAATTATGCATATTTCAATACTGAAATGCAATTAAAATCCTAAAACTAAGAATAAGGAACATGTTGTCTATCAACATAATGGAAAAAACATGAAGTAACTAAACAGAGTTTTAGCAGATACTCCAAAAGATAGCCACTTAATTTGACAACAAATTACAGAAAGGTAAGAAAGATGTATATTTGAGACTTTCAAAAACTGCACAAGCGCAATCAAGTTAACGGTCAAACACTTTATTGGAGAACTAGTATGCATGAAGAAAAAAGGCACCTTATCCCATTAGCTGCAGCTATTTAACATAGATAATCTGTAAGCAATCAAACTCCAAATCAGACAAGATGCTTAGACAATCTTATTATTTTTAATCAGGTTCACAAGTAGAAAAAAACTCTTTAGTGTAACATAACATCTGTGCACACAATTTTATAAAGTGAACAAGGAGTATATTTGCATCAGCTGATTTCATCAGTTGATCAACAGAAGCACAAGAAAAGACTTTGTTTGAAAAATTTATGATGATATTTTAGGTAAGATATTTCATTATATTTGAAAAATAACAAGTCAACAATTCCTGCTTCTCCCCCTACATACCTTCAGGTGAAGTCCTGTTTCAGATTCTTTTAACCTTGTAAATGCTGGATCAGATAATAAATTTTTTAGCAAATGCTGGTTTTTGTCAGGTGCTACGATGTCTCCTTTACATTCAGTAGACAAGGGCTGAGCATTCTGGTTCTCCCCATCATTGACATCAGATGTTTTCATATCCAAAGAGGAAGAAGCTTCTTCGCCATCTAACTTCTTCTTTGTATTCTTAAGAATTTTAAGAGGCTTTCCAAGTCCCTCTACCTTTGTTTCACCTTTAGTCTTCTCGCTGTTATGTTTCTTATCTTTATCAGCCGCAGGTTTCTTCTCTTTTTCTGCATTCTTTTGATCTTGCAGGTGCTGTATCCAGCAGGCTCCAAGTTCCCATCTCATGAAGACGTTTTCGTCAGTCTTCTCTTCCTCAAGCCTAGCTAGACTGTCATTTAACAATTTCTCCACAAAAGCTTGACCTGCAGTAAGCTCCTCATGCTTTGAGCTCAAAGAGTGATTAGCTGCTCTTTTCTGTTCTGATGTAGGTTTCTTGTGAAGAAACATCCTCAAACTGAAAGTAGTCAGTAACTACATTAGAAGCAATTATACAGATAGATGAGAACGAAAGATGTACATGCATCCTAGGCTACCTGTTAATGTTTAGAGCATTAGCTCCCCCATCAGGTTGGTCCTCAATATCAATGGCTTGCAAAGGGTCCAATTTGCTTTTGTCAAAGTTGTTGACTTTCACGATTGCAATATAACCACAATACCGCACATTCATGACGCCCAAGGTGGTGAAATCCTGTATTAATGACAATGAATACAATTCCTCAAAAAAAAAAAAAAGGAAACAATGAATACAAGAAGAAGAAAAACACTTGGTATCACAGTTTATTAAAAGAGAATAATCAGTGAAGGAAACAATGAATACAAGAAGAAGAAAAACACTTGGTATCACAGTTTATTAAAAGAGAATAATCAGTGAATACAGAGTTAAGAGTTTATCTCACGTGAGCACTTGGTATCACAGTTTATTAAAAGAGAATAATCAGTGAATACAGAGTTAAGAGTTTATCTCACGTGAGCTGCTGTATTTTCATCAGCAGTGATTCCTTTCAGTAAGTTTCTCTCTATAAGATCTTTGCGGTCCATTCCCGTTGTCCTATTCCCATCAATCTTTGTATCCAACTTGCAGCTTGCATCTGAAGTATCTCTGGTGACAGTAATGCTGAAATCCCCTACTGTCTCGAAGTGCAAAATTTCATCTTTCTCAATTGAAGAAGCAATACATTTTTCCATAACATATTGTATGGAAGCAATGGCTCTGAAAATTGCAACATCTACAAAAAGGCTATGGAGCAGAAAAGCTCTCCTATCTCGTATCTGCCTCTCCTCTGCAGTTTTGCATGGCATGGAAGTGAGAAGTAGAAACTCATTAGCCCAAGGTATCATGTCACATCTACCATCCCTTCCCCAACCACCGCCATTTCCTCCCCATGTTTCATCTTCTGCTGGGAGGCTAGGAAATGTTGATGGCAGCTGAGCAGCCAATGGAGGAACAAGCCAAGTGTTGGCACGATATCCATAAGGTAGATTACCAAACTGTAAAAGTACAAGCAAATGTCTAATAATTAATAATAGAACAAGGAGAAAAAAACAATGGGAGGTTTTAATGTGTAATGTGTATTTGAAGGCTAATATATGTCATATGGAGATGTTTTTTTACATACTTCTACTATTATAATATAAACTTTATGGGGGGTTTTAATTTGTAATTTGCAACTGACTGCTAACATGTGTTGTATAGTGATATCTTTTACATACTTCTACTATTATAATAATACAAACTCTATGGGAGGTTTAAATTTGTAAATGAATTACAATATGATTGACTCACAATGTCACGTCTTGTTCTTAAAAGTTCTTTCAAACTTTTTGCATCTACTATATGAATCTTATTCTTACATTCAGTTATATTAAGAGATTGTAAGAGGACTGTAATTCTAAAAGGTTCTTGCATGTGCATCATATATACTGAGATCTAGTTACTTTGGTAAAAACTTGAGTATCCATAAAGAATCCAAGACTATTTTAAAGGGAACCAACCTTATTCCGTTCTAAGAAGGCTTTCATGAGCTCCTCATAAGCCTGCGAGAAAAAAATGCATCAAAACAATCAAATCAAACCAAAACAAAGAAATCAAAGTGCGCGTCTAAGTCAACCAAAAGCAAATCCAATTTATGAACTGACAGCATCAAAAGCTCTGTTGAGCTGTCTCAACAGATCAACAAGGTCGTGGCACAGAATTCGCAGCTTTCCCACACTGTAGAATCCCTTTGCGCACGCCTCCACTATTATCAGCTTCCCATTGCAAACTTTCACCTTCAATTATAAAATTTACGAATAATAAGTAACAAACCCCAAAATTTAAAGGGAAACAGAATGAAAAGATTAAAAAGAAAAACAAGGTCTTTTATTTTTAATTCATTTTCTTACCATGATTTATTTTATAAATTCCCCTACTTCAAAGAATCATTCATACACCCAAAACACCCAACTTGATTGCTTTACAGACCCAGATTTGATATTTGATTACTTCATTATAACACTTTTAACTAATACTATAGCACTATAACAAATATTAAAAACGTTAACTAATATTAAAGTAGTATAGAAATATTTAAGCAGTTCAGAATAAATAAGGTTGAGTGTTTTGGATGTATGGACGGTTCTGGCAGCGTGTGGGTTAAAAAAATAAACCAGTGTCAAAGAATGGATTTAAAATAAATAAATAAAACAGTAAAGGAAAGGGAAAATCATTACCTCGAGGAAGAAGAGGTGATCCTCTGATCGCCGCTCATCCTGCCGAACCTTCGCAGCTCGCCTTATAACTACAATGCCCAACAACAGAAAATCGTCAAAACAAAAAGATTGTTGTGTTGTGGGGCTCAATGAAAATAGAGGAAAATACAAGGGCTTACATTGAATTGGGGGGGTGAGATTTGCGAGGGAGAAGAACTCATAGAAGCCGCCGCCGAAGCCTCAGGGCACGCCCCCTGCATACTCCGCCTACCAACTCCGACGTGATCTCCTTCGACGGAGCCATGGCGAGCAGCCGCGACCACGAGGATTCTTGTGAGGCCCACCACCGCCGAGACTCTCATATGAAACGAGATCGCGCGAAGGGGGACGCATGGTACGCGCATCATTTGGCGGACGGGAGGAGGACGGAGTAGGCAGGGAGCCGGCCGAAGGCAGCACGACAGCGCAGGCGACGATGTCGAGGAGGCGGCGCACGTGAGAGATCGCCTGAGCTTCGTCGTAGTCCTCTGCGATCACGAGAACGATAGGAAACGACAATTATTTATTTATTTATTTATTTATTTTTATTATGGCGGGCTTTATAAATTATTATTCAGAACAGTCCTTGCTTTTGGCCAAATTTGCAAGAACTGCGTCGTGTTCGTCTATTTACCTTCGACCAGGGTTAGAACGCAGGGTTTCAGAGCGGCCACGTCTACCGTATCCTTCAATCTCGGCCCTCTAACCTGAAATGCACAATCGCAAAAAAACTCTAAATAGTATGATAAATTGCACGTAATGTAACTATTATGGAATTTCTCTCTTATTAGGTACTTTTAGTAAATATATGCATACACGCATCTAACAAATTCGACGTGCTTACATGTGCATTGAGAATAACATATACTTTCCGTACTCGTGCTTCCATGAAGTGAAGTGGCTAGCAACTTTCGTGGTGTAAATACTATATATTTCCAATTCTTCCAATCTAACTTGTAACGAAATGTTGTAATTGATCGGTTCTATCAATTGTTCTTGTTAGATGAGAAATTAATCTTCATTTGAACGGCAAATTTAAATCTTACTCATAATATTATTAGTTTCAGTCGCGTTTATATAATACGTCCTCCAACGTTTTAGTGATATATTCTTATTTGTTATTGAATAGATACTCGAAAATTAATTGTATCCACAATCGTACGTTGAGCAGGTGAAATTTCATTGCCAAACTCTTTGTATATGATCGACATAACAATATAATTAACATCATGAAAAAAACATTTTTCGACTACCACTGTTTTGTTAAGAAGTGGTCCTTTAATATGAAAGAGAGGAAATTGTGTAAGTTTCTTTTCTAAATATCCTACTTATTCAATTCCCCTAAAACCAACGAATTGAAACATACCGATCACACCTAACTTATGCCGACCACATTTTGCACTATATTCGTTTCTCGTTGCTTTTTTTTTCTTGGAAAAGCCATGGCAGCCAGTACAATGTAGGGACTTTTTGTCCTACTCCTCAAGTTTATGTGTCACTTAATTTCACCTCACAAATATATAAGAGCCACCCAACTAGAGATAATTTCCAACTCTTTTTGTCTTTTTTTTAATGAAAATAGACGTACGTTAGGCTGTAGCGTAAGCAAAATAGCAACTCTAGACTTCCAATTCACTCACGTAAGTAATTTCCGCATTGATTTTCATGAGTATAAATTTTATCAGGACACCCGCATACACAGCCACTTCTATGAGAGATCCTGTTGAGTTTTCTTTTCTTTTTTATTACCTCGTGTGACAAGGAGTAGTTCGTAATGGCGCAAGTGACGGTGTTCACACACAGCAGCCTCCTGACGTCGATGATTCTGTCCGTCGAAATACCCTGCCAAAATCCATAAAAAAGGAAAATACATCACACTTAATTTGTATTCGTATAATATATTTTCGATTGTTATTAATTATTAATTATGCTCCAAATGATATATATATATATATATGGAGCGGTTTAATTAAGGGGGGGAATTCCTTTTCTAATTAAGTACTCGGTCGAACTCATTGTAAAATTAAATAAACTTAATTAAAGCAAGCCCACAAGAAAAACATGTTCCCTGTAAAAATGGATGCACAGCTAACTTACCTACGATGAACCTTCTCATACAATCTCTATGTTCCGTAACGCCCACCATTGTTTTATTTAATTTATCAATATACATCTTTTTTAGAAAATATTTTATATTTATATTTGTTATCCCCACCCCCACCCCAACCAACAACAAAAGAGAGATAGAGAGATCGAGAATGGAATTAATTAATTGAGCTGAATCCATACCTTTAGAACAACATGGGACTCATCTGGCAAGTTCACAGTGATATCCATGGCCACGGGTAATACTATATAAAAATCAAATACAAAATGAAAATTAATTTGAATCGTAATAAAATTATGAAGAAATTGCTATTTTGCAATTAGAAAACAATATAACTGCTGGCCAGCCAGCTAATTACTTACCCTTCTCATCCTTCTTCTTCTTCTCTCCCTTCGCCTTGCCGCGTCCACTCTTAGGTGCCATTTCAGAAGCTAGCGACCTTCAATCTGGATGGAAAAGTTAACAAAAAAATGCATACGCATATATACCGATAATTAAATTTTTATTTTAATGCAAAAAGCGAGAGTTGGGTCTCAACATAGGAGTGCTTTCGGTATATTATTGGGAAATTTTAATTAAAATAAACATGGTCAATGCCCACTCAAATTAAGATAAGGAAACTTACGAGTATTTGAGACCGTTGGTATATAGCTTGGAAAATTGACAGATAATAACAGTGTAATGGGGATTATTAGTTTTGTTGGGAGAAAAGGGGAGGGTAAGCAACCATTGAGGTTCTAAGATAGAGATAGAGAAATGCAGAGGAAGGAGCGCTATCGAGAGAGACGGTGAGAGGGTGTTATAGAGAGAAGGGGGGATGATAAGGGAGGAAGGGTTGAGATTTAACGGTCAGATTATGGTATTGGCAGTTTATGCACAGTAATATTATATTGTACACTTCTCTCTCTCTCTCTCGTTTTCGTTTTAGATACGTAGCTGCATTTTCTAGAGAGAGAAAAAAATCCCTGTAGCATTGTTGTATCGCACGTACGGTCTTGAAGTTTAATTGTACTCCCTTATTTAAAAAAATTTTGGGAAAAATGTGTCTAGGCACCAAAAGCGGAAACTTGATGTGACCAGGCTCTTTGTATTTTGACCCATGTGATTCAGTCCCAAATACACATTGTATTTGTGTCCAGACCCCAAAGTAGCGGACCCCGAGAAAAGCCTAGCATAAGTTACAAATTCACCCTTTGATTTGATTGAGTTCGGTAACTGTGTACCCTCCTTATTTATTCTTAATTTCCGCATTATTAATCACATCTCTATCTCTCTCACTTCTCTTTTCTCTCTCACTTCCGTCATGACCACTGAAAATGAAGCTAGCAAGCCCTCAACTCTCCACTCTTCTTCTGCCACCCCCGCCCACATTCCCTTCCCAAGAGATTCATGAAATTGTCTCCCCCTTCTTCTGCCGAGATCCCAAGCGTTGGAACCCCCAGAACCCCGGAATAGGTCGTTATCCCCATCGACAATGGTGAGCTCGCTGAGGAGGCTGTTGTTGAGAACCCAATCCCGATCGATGAGGTTCTTCAAGGATTGTCCCACATCGTGGACAACCCTAAGGTTGCTGCCCAAGCTCTCCCTCCTGTTATCGCTGACGTCAGTGTTGGGTCCCCACCTGAGAATAGCAACGATTCAAGTGAGATGGTCAACGAGTCCCCTGAGTTCAAGTCAAATATATCATTGTTGATGCATTAAAAACCGCACACAACTCCTTCTTCTTCTTCTTATTTATTTCCTTTTACGATGAAATGAAACGATGGAGAAGGAAAAAACCAGAGAAGGAAAAACCGGTAGCTCCAAGAAGACATAGAAAGATGCCACATTTGTCAGTGAATGTTGATCGAGACGGGGCTCATCAAGAGAGTAGCAGCAGTTCTAGTAATTTCTGTGTAATTTAGGAATTGATATTGTATGGGCGTGAACAGGGTCTACGAACTGTGTTAGTTCTAACTCATGCTGAGTTAGTTCTAACTGAGATCGTGTTAGTTCTAACTCATGATGTGTTAGTTCTAACTCAGGTCGTGTTAGTTCTAACTCAGATCGTGTTAGTTCTAACTCATTTCGTGTTAGTTCTAATTCATACTGTGTTAGTTCTAACTCATTTCGTGTTAGTTCTAACCCAGTTCGTGTTAATTCTAATCCAGTTCGTGTTAGTTCTGTAGATACATGCCAAATTGTCTTAATCTTTATTTCTCTTAATCTTTTACTCGGAGAGGAGTATTATTTTATTATTAAATATTATTGTTACATAATGGTCTTCACCATGGAGGTTAAAGATGAGTGGAGTGTTCTGTTTTTAGCTAGTTTGCTTTTATGTGTGCATGTCAACGTGTGTATGTATGCGTATGTACCTGTGATAAGTGCCTGAAGGGACCGTAATAAAGGGGTCTATGTATGAGAGAATATTGTAGCTTATATTAGAGTGATATAAGTGATAAATGCCTGAAGGGAGCATGTTGGAGTGATCTATGTAAGAGAAGATATTGTAGCGTGTGCTAGTGTGTTGAATTTTGATGAGCATCGAGACACAAACAGGTCCATCAAATTGAATTAGGTTTTGAGGCAGGTAACATAAGGGGCAAGGCAAAAGAAGAGTGCAGAGCCTGAGGCAATGGCAGTGAAGGCAGTGATGAGGTGCAAACAGAAGAGAAGAGGTAAAACATGAGTAATAGGCAGCAACCTTAGACCTAACATGGAACTGGAAATAGAACTAACACGAAGTTTAATAGAAGTAACACGATCTCAACTAGAACTAGCACGAATCGAATTAGAACTAACATATATATAGAATTAGATCTAACATGAACCACTTTTAGAACTAACACGAAATACATTAGAACTAACACGATCTGAACTAGAACTAGCACGAATTGAATTGGACCTAACATAGATGTTATGCTAGAACCAACACTTACACTAGAACTAACGCTAGATGGAGTTCGAACTAACACGAGGACAGCTAGAACTAACACCACAACAACCAGAACTAACAATAACATAGCTAGAACTAACATGGCCACTAGAACCGACAATTACACTAGAACTATCGCTAGATGGAGCTAGAATTAACACGATAACAACTAGAACTAACACCACAACAGCTAGAACTAACAAAAACTCAGCTATAACTAACATAACCACTAGAACCAACACTTACACAAGAACTAAGGCTAGATGGAGCTAGAACTAATGCAAGAACAGTTAGAACTAACACCACAATAGGTAGAACTAACAATAATTAAGTTAGAACTAACATAACCACTAGAACCAATACTTACACTAGAACTAATGCTAGATGGAGTTAGAACTAACACGAGAACAGATAGAACTAACACCACAACAACCAGAACTAACAATAACTAAGTTAGAACTAACATGGTCACTAGAACCGACAATTACACATTAATTAAGTTAGAACTAACATGAATTAGAACTAACATGAAGTGAGTTGGAACTAATAGGAGGTGAGTTAGAACTAACAAAGAGCCCAAGAGCCCCAAGGCCCAATCAAAGACCATCAAATATATATTGTAGTTGCAGGAGTTTGAACTTCTGACCTCCTCTCCAAATTCTCAAGCTTTACCACTAGACCAAGTTGTCTAAAGTATTATTGTTAGTTCTACTTAAAGTTAGCTTTAACGTGAATTAGAACTAACATGAAATAAGTTAGAACTAACATGAAATAAGTTAAAACTAACATTAAATAACTTAGAACTAACCTGAGTTATTTTTCGTGATAGAGTTTTAAAAAGGGTGGGAAATTTCCCTCCATTTTTTAGTCAGATCGCATTAATGGGACGTGATTTTCCATGTTTTTAGGGACCAAACGTCTAGGGAAGATAAGTGGAGGGGTAATCTTGGGTTTTTTTAAATACAATCTCTTTTTTTATAGTGATGACGTGGAGGGGCCTTGAAATATTGAATGGTACTTTTTGGGGCTAAATCACATGGGCCAAAATACAAGGGGTCTGGTCACATGAAGTTCTTACTTTTGGGGCCTAAACACATTTTTCCTAAAAAAAAATTCATTCTTTTGCCCTCCAATATATAGGCTTACTAAGCAAGTGTTTTGGAGGGCTTATTTTTATAAGCCTATAAGTTAATTAAGCTATATATCTTTTGATGGTTTACATTAAGAATTTTATAAAAAAATTAAACGAGGAATTGTCGTTTATTTGGTTAAACCTATCTTACTTAACTGAACTTATAAAATAGCTTTTGAAAGTAGGGAATCCTTTTTCTTTTAGACTAGTATAATGCATGTGCAACCACGTGAACGTACATGTTTTAAGTTTAGAATTTTTGATTGAAGAGGAAAACTATGCGCTAATAAATAAAATTGTATAATAAAATTACTTAAAAAGAAATGTATGAATTAATTATTATTGTGTAGCTATTGTAGTTGAATGTTTTTCTTATAATGATCGCCCGATGTTAACATTTTTTTAAAATAAGTCTCTAAAGCTAAAATTGTTCTTAAATAAAACTGCCAATTCTATAATTTTTCTTAAATATGCCCCTCTAACTTGAATGTATTAACTTAACTCTAAATTAACTAAATTGTCTTAATCTTGCTAGCTTTCTCCTAATGTTTTCTAGATAGTTACATTTGATACTTGTAACATATTGCAATAGTTGCTTCTCATTATAATTATTTAATAGGATAAATTACACTAAACCCTTATGAACTTTCAAAATTACACTAAACCCATAATGAATTTTCTATTTTAAAGAAGACCCCTAATAACTTTTTAAATTTTGCAGATAACCTGTATAAATTAGAATCAGAAAATGGAATAAAAAGGTATGTTATAGAGGGATTGGTGTAATTTATCTAAAAGATATTGGGCCTTTCTACAAAAGTTATTAGGGGTTTAGTGTCATTTCGAACGTTCATAGGGCCTATTTACTACAAAATGTTGAAAGTTCATGGAGATTTACTATAATATACCTTATTTAATATTATAATTCTTAGTTGTAATACTATTATAATTCTTAGTTCAATGAGGTTTAGTGTAATTTTTTTTGTGAAAAGGTTAGTTTTTAATCATTACCAAGTATAGATTATTCTGTATCATGTAACAATCTTTGAGAAAATACTTTAAAAATAATACTAAATTATTTATTTAATAATATAATACTAAATAAATAGTGTAATTCATAATTTATTTACACTATTTATGTGATTCAAATTTTATTTTATTGCTCATTGAATTATACTATAATTCTTAACAGTCTTTAGTAATATATTATTATATTTATAATATTATTTTAACTATTTTATAAAAAATTATAAATAATTATTTAAATAATTTAATTGGTTACTACTAATAATTGTGTATACTTATTTTATAAATTATTTTTAATTTATTATTTTTGAACAATTAATAGTTATAATATTATTGATAATTATAATTATTTCGGAAGATGAGGAGGTACATAATTAATAAGAGGTTCTATGTATTTAATAAAATATTAATTAGAGATAATGGTATAGTTAGAATTTATGAAAATATGAGAGGGCGAAAAAGAAAAGTAAAAGTTTTTAACAGCTCAATTCTCTTTTTATAGTAGTATAGATATAGATATAGATATAGATATAGATATAGATATAGATATAGATGGGATATTAATGCTACCTTATTGTGGATATTATCAAATAAATAGATAAGAAAAAGCTTTAGCTTCGAGTTGCTTTGACCCAAAAAAAACGATTTGGATCCTCTCTGCTACAAAAGAATAGTGAAGAAAATACTACTATGGCATAACCTTTGATTTCTTTAGTGGGTGGTTATAAATTTATTTTTAATG